GCCTTGCCGCCGGTGGACTTGCGGGCTGTCTGTTTAGTGCGAGCCATGACTGGAAGGTTTAGCTGGCATTACGGAGTTAAACCTAGCCACGTATTTATAGTGAGAGTCAGAAGCTGATTGGACAAGAAGAAACCAGGGCTACTCAACCGGTAACTGCACTGATTAGGACTCGAAAATTTTGTTTCCCAAATCCTCTGATGGTCTCAGTTATCCATGACCCCTATTTTTTTAAATTTTTCTTGTGGTGCTAGCTCTATAACAGCGATTTCCAGTAGAAATAAATATGAGCTACGTAAGAAACAAACTTTTATAGGAAAGACATAAAAAAATAAAAACAGGATAAGTTAATTTTAATAGTAATAGTATTTAACCCAATATTTCTAAAATATTCATTTCAACATGTAATCAGTATAATTGTTAGATATTTCACATTCTTTATTACTTTTCACTAACTTCGAAATCCAGTGTGTATATTACATGTTGACCACTTCGGACTACCCACATATCCAGTGATCACTGGCCACAGTTGGCTCGTAGTTAGCCGTGAAGACAATGGATCTCTATACCATCACGCTTCAATTTTCTCTCCTTCAAACACTTACATTTTAAGACTTTTTAACTTTTCAGCAAGCAAAATCTGATTTCCATGTGAGGAATTCAAGGGCCAAAAACTTAATAGGGAAAAACATTCTTACTCGGACTTTTTTTCATTGTCAGATAATATATAGAACAATTTCATTGCAGCATAATATATTTTTCTATTTTAGGAATGTAATTTCTTATTTCAAAAGAATCTAGTTCCCCATCACCAGTAAACTGTTTAGCACAAGCAAAACCACCCCTTGAGATGCATCTACATCCAATAGTTCCTTAGCAACTGGCAAAACCATAGGATAGGCTCCTTGCCTGGTATCTGATAGATCTCACCCTCCTCCCCACCCAACTCTTCATCACTCCCCCTCCCCAATCTCTCACTCCCCCCACCCTCCCACCCTCCCACTCCTTGCCACCTCCCCTCACTCTCCCAGGGCCTAGAAGTTACCAAGACAAGCTTTTTAAAGGGAAAAGGATCTAACTGTATCAGAACATTAACAAGATCTTTAACACAATGAAAGAAAATTTAGGATTTAGCACCTTTATCCTGAAATGGATCACTTTATACAGAGACCTCGAGTTGTGTGGTGGGCCACAAAGGAGCTTGGAAAATATTTGAGAAAACAAACTTTCATCGTTTCCCAATAAAAGGCCTGAATATTAAATTTTTCATTAATTAGCACGGTACAACATAATGTACACTGATGAGATTAGGTCTTTCACAGAAATGAAGGCTCTGAAAATGCCTTAGGCCTAGGATGGTTTGTTTTGATACCAGAAAACTCAAGATGCCTTTCCTAAGATCCAGAAAACTAAAGTATCTCAAAACTGACACAAAAAGACAAGTAGACCTACGACGAGACTTGGTAGTTTTCAAAGGCTTATGATGGACAGATGTGAGTATGGCAATATTTAAGTGATTCACTTCACGTAACCCATAAACCGCCTAATGCTGATGAGACATTTATAGGGGAGCCTTCTACCTAACCCAAGTTTTAAGGTTAAGTAGGGATCTTTAGCATTATAGTGTAAAAGAACTTAAAGTGTTCAGTTCTTCCTCGAAAATTGTAGGTGGCTCTGAAAAGAGCCTTTGGTTTGAGTGCTAAATTTGAGATGCTGCAAACTAATCCAGACTTCTACTTGCCCTTGGCCTTGTGGTGGCTCTCAGTCTTCTTGGGCAGCAGCACGGCCTGGATGTTAGGCAGGACGCCACCCTGAGCGATGGTGACTTTACCCAGCAGCTTGTTGAGCTCCTCGTCGTTGCGGATGGCCAGTTGCAAGTGGCGCGGGATGATGCGCGTCTTCTTGTTGTCGCGGGCCGCGTTGCCCGCCAGCTCCAGGATCTCGGCCGTCAGGTACTCCAGCACCGCCGCCAGGTACACCGGCGCGCCGGCCCCGACCCGCTCGGCGTAGTTGCCCTTGCGGAGCAGGCGGTGCACTCGGCCCACGGGGAACTGGAGCCCAGCCCGCGAGGAGCGGGTCTTGGCCTTGGCGCGAGCCTTGCCGCCCTGCTTACCACGTCCGGACATGGTTCAGAATCAACGGCTGCCGCCTAGAAGATGCGGACAGGAATACTGAAACGCATATTTTATAGGCCCTGCTGGGCGCGAAAACGGAAGCCGTAAGATTGGCTAGTATTTTGCTTTCACTTGAGCCAATGGAAACGCGACTCCGTAGGATGTGCAGCTCGATTGGGCGAAACTGACATGTGACGTCACGCGAGAATAACCACCAATCACCAGACACCCTAACTCCACCTCATTTGCATAAACCGTTGTCATTAAAAAGGTGCCTTTCGCTTTCCGCTCATTCATTTCGGTTTTTACCGTTGGTGTTCACCATGCCTGAGCCAGCCAAGTCCGCTCCAGCCCCG